AAGGGTACAACATAAGATAACATAATATAAAAAAATAAAAGGCAAGATCAAAATATTTTTAAAAAGATAAAAGTATCAAAGTATCAGGATCAAAGAACGAATTGTATTTAAGAAATATGTTAAGAACTGGTTAAGTGGGAATAGCTAGGTGGGGTGTCTAGGAAAGTTGTTTGATGGGAACAGATCTGGGAAGAGTTGTCCTTTTTATCTTTCTGCCTTCCGTCCTCCTTCCCTCCTTCTGCACTCTTCTCAGAAGGCTCAATAGCTGATAGCTGGAGTGAGGGAGCCATTGCGCAACTAAGAGGAAAAGACTAAGGAAAGCTCCATGATCTTCCACCTAGGAGAGCTGAGCTGCCAACCATTAGCACCAATCACCTACTCCAGCCTTCTCTGTATGAGAAAAATAACGTTCTTGATTCATGGCATGCTTAGTGTCTCATTCATCTTTTTCACAGTACCCTATAGGCAAAAAGAAACACCTCACAGTTGCGCTTAAGTATTTAGGTGTCTTGGGCAGTGCCTGTGGCTCAAAGGAGTAGGGCACTGGCCCTATATACCAGAGGTGGGGGGTTCAAGCCCAGCCCTGGCCAAAAACTGCAACCAAAAAAAAAGTAGTTAGTTGCCCAAAAACTTAATAATATTTATGTACTACAACTTTCTAGCTGTCTTAAAAAAATAAGACACATAAATTAAAGAAAATGAGTATTTATATTTCATTCTTAAATAATCACAATTACTAATGTGATACATGTTCCAATTTTGCACTTCACTGCTTCTTAAACTTTGCGAAAAGGTTGGACACCACTACCTGTTCCACAATGATTTTCACTTACTATTTACTTTTCAAAAATTCTGATTAATACATATACTTAACATAAACGTAATCATCCTAACTATTTGTACCATGTCCAGTACAGTAGCATTAAGTACATTCTCAAGGATGTGCGACCATCACCCTTACCCATCTCCAGAACGTTTTCATCTTCACCAAATGAAACTCTGCACCCACCAATTGACAACTTTCCATTCCCTCTTTCCTCAACCCCCAGGAACCACCATTTCTGTCTCAAAGAATATGACTATTTCAGGATCTTCATATAAGAAGAAATCATACACTATTTATCCTCTTGTGATTGGTGCATTTCATTTGCATAATCTCCTCAAAGTTGATCCACGCTGCAGTGTGGGTCAGAATTTCCTTCCTTTCTAAGGCGATATAATACGTCATTATACACATATACTACATTTTGTTTATCCATTCATCCAGCAATGGATACTTGGGTTACTTCCACTTTGGGGCCAGGGTGAATAATGCTGCCATGAGCATGGGTGTACAAAGTACTTGCTTTTTCAAATCACAACTATGAAAATGGATCTTCACAAAAACATGTCATCACCAAAAGGAACATAGTGCAATTGACAGTTCAAACTGTCAGTCTTCTCAAGCTAGTCATTTTCCTGGTGTCAGAATGTCCCATATCCCTATGTTTCCTTCAAAATTTAAAATATGATGTGACCCCTGGTTCTTGGTGGCACCCCCGTGACACAGGTGTGCTGTTCGGGAACTATATCTATGATGTTAAAGTTACTGTTATTTGAGTTTCCAACAGAGGGGACTTCAACCTTTACGTAATAGAAACATAACTATCAAATCTGTATTTCTCATGAGGCTTCCACTTAGGATCCTCCATCTTCAAGTCAGATGCTTATCCACATACAATCCTTAAGTAATTTACATTCTCTGTACACAGCTCACTACACCCCCCAAAATTAGTGTAATCACCCTCAAGGCTTAGAAAATGCATTTTCTTTGCCACCAAAAATTTATGTGCCAACTTGACTGGGCCACAGCATGCCTAAATATTAAGGCATTAATGTTATTAATGGTTATTTTGGGATGAGGTTATGCTTTTTTATTCTGAATAAAGCATTTTACTAAGTGAATGAAGCATATTGCCCTCTGTAACGTAGGTAGGTAGCCCTTACCCAATCAGCTGAAGGTCTGAACAGAACAAGATTGACCCTTCCCCAGGGAGGGAGACTTAGTACTTGACTGATTGCCTTGAAACTGGAAGTCAGCTTTTCTTCTTGCAGTTGTACATCACCTCTTCCGGGTTTCAGGCCTGCCTGCTTTGGCATAGGGACTACACTGGAGGCTGTCCTGGTTCTCGGCGTTCAGGCTCAGACTGGAACTAAAGCATCAGCGCTCCTGGGTCTCCAGCCTGCCGATTCATCCTGCAGACCTTAGGACTTGCCAGTCTCCATGATCCCATGAGCCAATTGCTTATAATAAATCTCTTCATTTATATACATAAAGACACATACACATATACATCCTATTAACTGCAGGATATTCTCCTATTTCTATGAAGAACCCCAATTACTAGACTGACAGAATCACATGTTCCACCAGTGTCCTCAAGATACACACAAACTCCTTGGTGTACATTCACGACCCTCCATCTGGCTCCCTCTCAGCCCTCTCCAGTCTCATCTCTCACCACCGTCTCCATAGCCCACATCATGTGACACCAGGTGAAAGTCCATTAAATCTCCCATGATCTCTCCCCTCCAAATTGTGAGTGTGCTTTTCTTCCCGCCTATAATGAGTTCCAGACAGCCCCCTCCTTGTGCATCAGTGCACATGCACACACACCTGAGCACACAGAGGATGTGCAGTTTGCATGACTGCAAGGCTACCTCCTCATCCTCCAGGTGTCTGCCCAGATACCCAACTCTCCTCCCAGACCCACCTATACAGCATGGGCCCACAGCCCCTCTCAAATGTTGCCATATTACTCGGAGTGTATCCCTAGCAGAACCTTTACTGGGTTTTATTTTAACTGCTCAATTATTTGTCTGAATTCTCCAACTCCTTGAGGGCAAGGACTATGTTTTATAAGCTATTTTATCTCCATAATAGTGGCTCACCTATAATATGTGCTCAATAATTATTTGGTAAGTAAATGATCCGAGTTCAAACAACATCCCTAACCAGTTTAGGAAATGTCACCAAGAGCTGAAAGGGACACATTCAGCCACTTTTGGCACCATCCGAACCACCAACTGTATCTAAAATGCAAGGCCAGGGACGATAATAACACAGCCATCCTTGTCACCTTACCTATGCCCATGTACAGCCCAACCATACAGGTACAGGACAGGCACCAAAAGCAAGGAGAGCTGGGGGAGGAGCCGGAGAGCCACAGACAGGAGCACGATCTTCTGCACGCATTTCAAGGTATAGTGGCCCTAAGAATTCACTATCCCTTAAGTATAATACCCAAAGGTTTTTTAAAAGATGATTATAATCATAGCCTCCCTCCGGTCATCATGAAAGTGATACTCCCAAACACCTTCCTGGTCGATGACCCTGAAGTGACTTACTCCAACACAAGCATGCAACTCAGGGCTGCTGTGAGGAACTGAGATTATGTATTGAAAAGCACATGGTGAGTTATGCTATAATAAAGACAAATTATTAGTAGTATCACCATTATCATTGTCAGGATTACAAACAGAAGTACATATAGAAACAAGCTACAATTCACGCTAGTGGAGCATGAGCTGGAAGATTTTACTGGGCCTCAGCCCCCCAAAATCCAAACACCTGCTCTGGACATAAAGGAACTTAGATTGCCATGCTATGGATGCAGGATCCTGACAAGAAGAACTCTATTTGGGATGTAGCTCCCAGAGCACCTTTTTTCCTACGCTTATACTAAATATCAGTACCTCTAAGATATAAAATGATTCAAAACCAAGTCCAGGGGCGGTGCCTATGGCTCAAAGGAGTAGGGCGCCAGCCCCATATGTCGGAGGTGGTGGGTTCAAACCCAGCCCCGGCCAAAAAAAAAAAAAAAAAAAAAAAAGTCTAAGCCATAAATAAGTAAATTTCAAAGAAAATTTAAAAAAATAAGCTACAAGGATATTTAGTGTTGTTACTGTTTTGTTTGATCTGCCCATTTACGCCCTCTCCATACACAGAAATACACAGACACTAAAACGAACAACGTTTTGACTATTTGACTGATATAATTCATTATTCACCTTAATTAACCAAGTGAGTGGCTCTTCTGAAGGCTGCTAGTAATTTCATCTGATGGCATAAGCACTTTAAATGTAAACATTTAAGACTCATACCTTAAGGAATATGTAATTGTGCTATTTTATACAGCAAAGTTATGTTTTACATGGGATACCTTTCTCTCATTGGCCTAAACACACTTATCATGTACATTATAACCTCATTAAGTCAACATCAGCTTCTAAAGAAAATATGTCATTCAAATAGTTTGCTATTCACCAACAATTATTCTTTAATATAAAAATAGAGAGAGAGTAATACAAACACTATTGAATTAAAAGCACATTCTCTCTGCACTTCAAATTAACTAGATTTCTAGTTCTCCACAAACACAAAATACACTTTTTCATTATTCTCTTCTAGTTTTTCTCATTACTACCTCTATTATAAAAATAATAGGCTTAGCTCTTAAAGTAAAGCTTATCATTGATACATACTAATTCCTCATTTTATGTTATTAAAATTTTTCCCTTATTTCATCTTTTTCTTTCCAAATATCACCTGTCTTCTAGCACTTCTAGCACTAGGATAAGACAGTTCCAGTCACCCCTCTGTTCTATGGCCCACAGAATGAAGCCCCCAGGCAGCCAGGGCAGGATCTTGCTAAACTAGCTCTTTCCCAATCAACCCACCATCACCCATCCTACCTCCTTATCTCTGACGTTTCTGTCTTCCACTGTTTCACAGTCCCATGAGGTGTCACATGCTTACAGCCAGCATTTACCACTGGAGGTCCTCCCCACCCCCACACACATACATATACATGCCCACCCCCTTTCCAAGCAAGCTATATGTCATTATGTGACCATCAACATTGACCCTGATGTTGAATCATGTATTTTTGCTGGCAGAGGAGGTACTAGGGGGGCAAAGAGTTTCCATTTTTAAAAAGATCCCAGAAAGACAATCCTACCTTTCCCGGGATTGGGAGGAAAAGGGTTTCCAAACTCCTGTTGTTTTGGCTTTAAAGTGTGTGACCCTGACATGCCTTCAGCCTGGGTGACCTGGAACCGCGGCTTCCCATTGGTGAGCACTTGTCTCCTGGGACTCAAGGCAGGCAGATGGATGGGGCTCTCAGCCACGTTGTTCTGAGGAGCCATCCCTCCTCCAGAGGGCATCCTGAGATGGAGGCTGTTAGCCAGGCTTCCGATAGCCGGGCTTGGTGTATTGCCACAAGGTGAGGGACCAGGAGTCCCTGAGTGGGCTTGGATGGGAGGAATGTGTTGACCACTGATCATCCCAGGCCCCTGTGGGGTTCCCAGTGTCCGGTGGAGACTCATGCCGCATGACCTTCCATTCATTCTGAAAAACCTGTGGCCAGGATGGTCAAATATCCAATGGCACTAATGACTCCTTTCAGGCAAAGTCCAATAAGTTATCCATGGTGTGGGTTATAAGCCTGTTTAAAAAAATAAATGCAGGCATTTTTAAAGGTAAAAATGAAAATAAAGTACAGTGAGTTTTTAACCTGTGTAGCATTCATATCAGGAAGAAAAGAAGCACTCTTAGCAAAATGGCCCTTTATGTAGAACAGGGCCATCAAATACACGGCTCCTTGGCAGCACTCTCCCCATCTGCACTCATAGGAGACACGGATTATGGATCATTGCATTGTTTTGTTAGTTACTAAGCCCTTCTCAGTACAGTACTCTTGGCAACTACAACCCATCTACTGGTGCCAACTTGCAAAATGAAATTTACACTGCTCCCTAAATGATCTGTCTACACTAGCTCACCTTTGCTACAGTAGGTCTTGGGAAGCTCAAAGCACTGCCTTCATGAGCTAAGACCAGTGCTTCAAGGTTCCAGTAAACAAACACAAAGCAGACACAGCCTCTCAATGAGATGATGGGAGTCCCTAGACTTACAAAAGATAAAAATCTAAGCCTGGGAATATCCCAAAGTTTTTGAGTATCTATATAGTCAAATATTCATAGCAGCATTAGAATCTTGGATATTGATCCCAAGTTACAGGGATGAGGAAATAGAAGCAACCACAATACTGTAACGTTCCATTAAGATCCTAGAAAAGGGAAAAGCCCTTCCAAAAGTGAGCTGTGCGGTAGGTGCACTGTGCATGAACAACAGACAATAAATCAACCACTAAGGAAGCAGAGGAGAACCACAGTGGTACCGATGTGACCACAGGACATCCTCATCCCCCACCCCCAGTGTGATAAGGTTAGTACTCCAAGGTCATAAATCACTTAGGAAGGCTTTTCCCTCCCTGGACCAGTAACTCCCCCAAACATATGCAATGAGGCAGCTAAGTGCCATGGGAGTGCCACTACTCTAAATGTATGACAGACACAGTCACAATCTGGTTTTCATATAGACACGATAGTCATAAAAAGAAGCCAGAGCTGAAAAAACACATAACATAAAAACCAAGTACAAAATGGTAAGAAGCCGATAGCTTCAATGGGATGATGCCTGCTTTTTAATGTATGATCCACTCAAAGTTTTAGACAAATATTTCAACTTGACTACCAAACAAAGGACCCCATAAATCATCAAAAAAAGAATATCAAAGAGTCAAAACATGTCATGGTGAGTTTCTTTTTCTTTGTTATTACAGCAAATCAAAAAGACTTACTTCTCAGCCATAGTCCTCTAGGTCAGGTCTCACGGCTGTCCTCCCCTCCACTATTGTCCCCCCAAATGGACAAATAAGTTCAGGTTATTCAAACCTGCATCATTTAAGTTTGTTTATGGAACAAAACTAAATAGACCCTGAAATAAGAGTGGCTGCAAAAAAATGTTTTTCCAGTGGAAAAATTCCAATGCCTTTTATGTTGTGACCATGTAGGAGAACTCAAGTGTGTTACCAGCTGGTCTGCTGTTCATTGGTTGATAGTGAGCAAGAGTCACTTAATGGCTCTGTGCTTTGCCAGATAAAACTGGCCATCTATCCTCCACTCATTGATAAAATAGTGTTTTCTGAGCACTGAACCCTACAGAAGAACGCACTTATTCAGAAGCAACCAAAAAAACCAAAGGGATAAGGAATATGTCACATTGGCAAGTTTTTGAAAATAAAGAATTATTCAACATGACTTCAAATATGAGTCATTAAGACCCTGGTCCAAGTGACAAGTGTCTGTAGATTTGCAGAATGTGCCCATTTCCAGGTTTTTAAAAATAAGGGAGTCATTTTTGGCAGCAAAATCATATACAAGCAGGAATACTCATCAAAACCCTGGATAAAAACACATAAGGAGGTACTTTAGCATTAGGCTCAATCATTAAGAAGGTAAGTCAGCAAGAAGGAAAAATAATTAAAGCACTAGAACTTAATTAAGTATCAGGCACTCACACCTGCCTGTTTTGGACTGAATATTTGTTTTATTTTTATTTTTTATAAACTACCAGTCCTGTGTTAAATAATTTTAGGTTGAAAGTAAAAACAACAACAAAATGTACTTAAATTTTATTGCTAAAAAAGCAGCAGCCAGAAAGTAAAGTGATTAATACCAGAAAGAAAAACCAAGAGGCCAATGGCACGTGAGCTGAGCAAAGCCAGCCTCAAGACAAAAATAAAAGAAACTATGTGAAAATATGCCTAACGTTCCAGTTTTCACATTAATTATGCCAACAAATCTTTCAGGCATTAGACACCAGTAAGTAAAAATCAATTCTATCATAACTGGATAATATATTATACGTTATAATATTTTTGCATATGTTTTAGTTAGGCTAAAGTATATCGTCAAGATAAAATTCTAAGTTTACTTGGTACCAAAAAGGGATAAACTGTTAACTTTGAAGACAGACCCATTTTCATAATGTCGGGGGGAAAAAAGCACTCAAAAAGTCAATATACCTGAGTTCTGCTTCTAGCATATAACTTATAATTTCTCTGTTAATTTATTTGTTTTCATTCATAAAAGGTTGAGGAGGCTGGATACATTCACTATGGTCTCTTGAAATTCTGTTTATTCCAGACAATTTAGACTAGGAAGATTATCAAAAATGCCCACTCACCAGAAGCAAGAATAAAAAAGTAGATTTTATACCTATGGCCCTTCAATCTAGGAGGACTGGGTAGACAAGGAAGTAAAAATAATAGCAACCTCTGCCAACTCCATCAAAGCAAGAGCTGGTGGAAAGGCTCTCCTACCAGCAATGTGCCGATAGGCAACACTAACCATGAAGAACGAAATTTAGGATTGAAATGACACTTTGCTAGAAAAGGAAAATCACAACTAATCAGTACCAACAACCTAACTGGTGGGAATCTATTGGCAGGGCATCTTTCTATTTAAAAACTTGATCACATTCTCTAGCATTTTCTCATCTATCCTCCATCCAACTGCTCCTCCCCAGGCTACTACTGTCATCACCAACAAAAGAAACAAGAAAAAGAAAAATCAGGGCAAATCTAGAAGTATAAATTTAGGATATTTGAGATCTGACATATTAACACATTTAGATTTTTAATACTCCACTAGTTCACACAAGGAAAATGCTCGTTCTGCTAATATGAGTCAACATGAGAGTTAATAAATCTTTCCCTCTGACTACTTTCGAACTCTGTAAAATACACTCCTGTAAATCAGGTCAGAGAGGAAATTACTTAACCCCTAAAGAAACTAAGGCACAAAACCACTTAATTATTCCACTAGTTTTCTGGAAAAGCATGACTTTAATCAAAATATCGTGACTCCACCTTCTACCCAAAGCTCCAGGCACTGTTCCTAGTGGATTAAAAGATTAAACAAATGAAAAGCAATGTTAACTCATCCATTCAAGAAAATTTCAAAAACGCGACTTCCAAAATGCCTATTTACAGCCAAAGGCCCTTTCTTAGTAAATACCATTAATAGACTCATCTAGAGTCATAATTCATCTGATGAGCCAGTTAATTATTAATTTTCATACATCATTTCATTTCCTTAGGCTACATTTAGCCTTTGTTACATTTTCCATTTCTTCTGCCACAAGCATTTCTTACCCTGCATAGAAAACCTGATAATGAGGCACCAAATACTGGTGAGCAAACAAACTGCTCCTGAGTCGGCTTCGTTCATATATGTCTAAGCTATCTAAGATGAAGTTCTTATTGATTCTTTTCATTTTTTCCCTTTAGGTTCATGATTGTATAATTTCATTAACACTGCCCTTTTCAACGTCACTGCATTGATCATTAATAGGCCCATGTTATTCCCATGGGCTTCTCTTGTTCCAGCTTTTGTAGCCAGAAGAATATAGAAATGAAAAGCCTATTGATAGATAATATAAGTTATTCGCACGCACGGCTGCAGTGTGAAGCACATTTTGCAATTCAATCAAGTACAGATAGAGCTGAATGTTCTTAGATCCCTGGAGTTCATTTTAATAAGCAGAATGTACCTTGTCCTAACACAGGTGACTGACTCCTCAGAAAAGATTGTATAAACAAAAACCAATCATGTAAGTCATTTTATTGGCAACAATATAAACACAGCTATATTAGATGTCACCAATAAATCAAAATTATTCTTGTCTGCAATTTTAACAAGAGGAAAGTGCAAACATGTGCCTGTGAGGCTGGAGGATATTAGAGAGGAAACGTATTTGGATGTGTACAATATTATTTCTCTAAATCGAAACTGGAAGGTACTGTTATGATAGAGTAACCCACAACAAGGAATAGTTGATCATTACCATGGTTCCATAACTTTATTCAGTGACACTGGCAAAGGCACAGAATTTACAACAGAAGTTACATAGAAACAGAGCTAATTCCTCATTAATCAGATGTGGGTAGAAACTTAGGGAGGTTACACCTAATAACTATCGTAGTATGTACAGGCCTATTCACTTGAGCACTCCCAAGGTCTAATGCTGGCAATTCCAAGAACATTAACATATTAATTCTGAGCACTCAGATATACAGACATTACTCAAGCATTAGCATCACCATTAATATGAAATCCAAGAGGTTTATGTGTGAGTTATACCAATTAAAAAATACGAAACAACTTAGTGTTTCTTCCAGAGATTCAAGAGCATTCTTCCAAAGACTACTCAGAAAAAAAATATGACAATGTGGTCAGGCACAGTGGCTCACACCTGTATTCTGAGCACTTTGGGAAGCTGAGGTGAGCAGACTGCTTGAGGCCAGGAGATTGAGACCAACCTGGGCAATAGCAAGTCCCCATCTCTACAAAAAAAAATTATTTTTTAAGTTAGTCAGGCATGATGTAGTCTAGCTATTCAGGAGACTGAGGCATGAGGATCACTTGAGCCCAGGAGTTCACTGCTGCAGTGAGTTACATTGGTAATACTGCACTCCAGCCTGGGCAAGAAAGTGAGACTTTGTCTCAAAAAAATCATAATAATGATAACACAATGAACATTATGATTCTTATAACTATCTAATTAGATATTTAAGCTTCTAATTTTACATTTTATAAA